CAGCAGCATAGCTGCTTTGGGTTGTCCTTTGGACAGGAGTGCAGCGCCATAGCTGCTTTGGGTTGTCCTTTGGACAGGAGGGCAGGGCCCTCAGTAGTCCGCCATAGCCTACGCATGTGTGAGGAGGCAGAAGGAGGGAAGCCATAGCTATGGTGGACTTGTTGTTGTTGTTGTTGTTGTTGAGTCAGCAGTAAGAGGGAACTTCTGATATTGATTCTGGTTCATCCACTCGTTGTTATTATTATTATTGAGGGAAGAATAAGATTGGCGAAGTGAAGGAGGAGGAAGGTGGAGAGAGAAGGGGGAATTGTCATTGGTCTTGCTGGTGTACACCTTCTTCTTCTTCTTCTTCTTCTTCTTCTTCTTCTTCTTCTTCTCCTTTCTCTCTCCTCTGGTCTCTATCTCTTTGCAAGTGCTTTCATTTCTTTCGCAATTGGGTGGCATTGTCTTTCATTGTGAATTTGCACTTTGGGAATGACCAGGATCGTAACAATTGGTATCGGAGCGGACTTACTTGCTGGCGAGAGGTGTTAGTCACCCTAAACCTAATTCCGAATTAGGTCAGGGCTAACCTAATCTCGGATTAGGGTTGGGAAGTTAGGGTTAAGAGGGGCAGTGAGGTATGTGGATACTGCCCCCACCTGGTTAGGTCATGTAGGGTCGACATCAGACCTGACCAGGTTGCTTGAGTGATAGGATGGGGTGGCGAGACACAAAGGAGGCTGATTGGAGTAAGCAAGAGGGAGTAGAGAGTGAGAGGTACGCGCACCTGGAATCTGCACTTCAAGAAGACATTGAGTGACTTTTGGGCTTCCCCTCAAGAGGGAGACTTGATCGGAGGCTGCCATATCTGCATTGAAGAGCTGCAAGTTGCTACTTTGGTCTTCAGACATCGGCGGGGGATCCGGCGTTGTAACAAGGGTGTAGGAAGGCCCTCTTAGTCATGCTAGGACACTTTGTGTAGTGGTAGCTAGGGGTTAGGAGGACCTATGAGAGAGAGGGGTGAGCTGTTATCCATCTTTGGAGGCCGGGCCTCACAGGTAAGTGTCGTGTGACCTGGTTATGCTCGTGGGAGGTTGCTTGGTGCTTCATGGCCTGTTAGGGTGTGTTGGGCTCTCTTCCTCTTCTCTGCGGTCTTGGTTGTGTGTGTGAGCATGTGGATTGCTTTCTCACCTGATGGATGGATGGATGATGTATCTGTTCTAAATGACATATCTTTCTACGGTGCAATGTCTTTTCATTTCTGAACGCCTGTAGGGGTGAGTTCTTGCTGAAAGTTGTCTTTTCCTTTTCAGTACGGTAGAGGCAGTTTGGGACTGACTTGGTACACCTATCTCGTTGGTCCTGGTCCACGACCTACTTGGGACCTTCGGGACTCGGTGGGACCAGTCCCAACGGGACAGGACCTTTAGGGCCCAAACCTGTTGCCGTCAATGCATCTCTTTGTTGTGCTGAACTTGGGGGACATACGGCTAGCAAGGGCATTCCTTTCAAGGCGATCTTGACTGGTCTTACTGCATGTTATCGCATACTACCCCGCGTTTGGCTCGGCGACCGTCTGCACCCCTCGAAATCTCCATTGCTGCAGTTAGTCTTCTTCGGCTGATTTATTGTGGTACATGTACCTTGTCAGGTTAGACAAGAGGGGATCTCCAACTAATCTGATCGGGCCCGTTTGATAAGTCAGTCCTCTCTTTCGTTTTTTTTTTTTTTTTTTGCTGCGTGTATGCCATTATCTTAGTCCAAATGAATTGCCGCTCCGACTAGGAGTTCTACCTTCTACTCTGTGTGATTTACTGATTGTTTCTTTTGTCTGAACTATCTATGTCCGGTATTGAGACGAGCGCGCGGAAAACAGAAAGAGAGAGAAGGGAGAGAGAAGGTGTTCTTTTTGAGAGTGTGAGGAAGGGTAAGAGGAGTGTTCGTCCAAAAGTGAGCAAAGTGCGGACCCCTCTTGAGAGATCTACTGACACCCTATCCTCCGGCATGGCAGGCATCACGTCCGAGCAATGGAAGGCCATGCTGGACGCAGCGGCTGATAACGAGAGGCCTTTCTTTCAGAAGCTTTATGAGGATGCTATACACAGAGAAAGGGAGGTAGAGGCAACAGCCCGAGCCACAAGTATCTCTGAACAGGTGGCCCTCCTTGCGGTTCCGGAATTGAATGATGACCGGTTCCAAGAGAAGCTAGTTGTTGCCGTAGCAGCCTTGGTTTAACTGCGGACCTCGGAAGACCTTGAGTCCCGTGTGACAGCCCTGGAGCAGCGAAACCAAGAGTTGCAGGCTGAGATAGACAGCCTCAAACAGTCCCAACTGTCTGCCCCTCGTCCTCCTAACCCTCGACCTGCTGCAGTCCCAATCTCTCAACCTAACACAGTCCTCGTGACGAGAGCAGGAATCGGTGCCAGCTCCTCAAGCGGCAGCGCCGGCAGTTCTGCACTGGTCATAGTCCCAAATGCAGGAACATCAACCCAAAACGCCACAGTTCTTACTGGCGTACAGTACATCGGTCCCGTAGTGGACAAGCGGGCGGCCACTCTGCCGTCCAAATACGACGGGAAAAGGGATATCACCTCTTGGATTAGCTCCATGCGCTCATACTTCGAGGTACTGCAAACACCACAGGAAGACCGAAGCATGATCATGGGCACTAATACTGAGCCCGTCGTACGGAGTTTCATAGAACTCCAATCTGTTACAACAGGTTATGAGAGGATTGACCTGATCGAGTGGCTGAAGGTGACTCCTGTACGTACTCTTGAGGACCTCCTCATCACGCAGTATCAAGATAAGCACGCTGCGCTCAAGGCAAGACTGAACCTTGAGGCCCTCAAGGGCCAAACGCGGAGGACTTCCATGCAGGCTTTGGAGCAGCACTTGACTGGTCTGCTCACCACTCCAAACCTGGGATTGACTGACGTGTCTTGCATGGATGTAGTCATGGGAGTGACCCCTAAAGAATACGTCTCCCAGCTAGGACTCAAAGACCATACCACTTGGCGAGAGCTACTGACGGATCTAGTCAACCTAGAAGCCAAGGAACTCGCCAGGCGTGTGAAGGCACCCGCTGCAGGTAGAACCTCGCAACACAAGCGGTACGGAAGCAGCAACCAGCTTGCCCTACATGAACATCGGGGGGCTGAGGATCAGTCCTATGTGGATGATCTGTCTCTGGCTGACGATCTAGAGCCGGACTCCGACGTGTCAGCCCTTGAGTCTGACGTGAATACTGAAGAAAAATGTAATGCTTTTAAAAAGACTGCTTCAAGCAAGGGGCCTAACCGTAGTTCAGGCAAGGGAACTATAGCACACCTCCCCAAGAATGCAAAGATCCCTGAGAAACCGGAGGACGCTTCTACCAAGCCTTGGGAAGCCCTCCGCATCAGTCAGTCAAAAAGAATAGGAAAGACGATCCAAACTGCGCATGTGCTTGCATTGTCAAAAGCCTGGGCATGTTGTGCAGGATTATTATCGTCTGCAGGGAAACAGGCAAAGGGCGTAGAGGAGTCATCAACACTCTCTATAGCAAGGGAAGCTGAACAGTCAGTTGCAGGCCCCTCCAAGGAGCCTGAATCTGATCAACAGCTTGCTCTTGAAGCTCGAACTGATGGTGAATCCAAGGCTGGTGCAGTCCAAATACTTTACACTGAGCCTTGGGAAGAGACTAAGGAAGTTGACTTCCACTCTCACCTGGAACATTGGCAGCAGCTCAAGTAGCAACACCGTGTTCAAGGGAGTGTGGAGCTAACCTTCTTCAAGTTACTTATCAACCGCCGATACATCCGTGTGCTGATTGATAGTGGCTTAACGACTAAGTTCTTTTCTCCTAACGGGATTCGTAAGGCGGGCCTGGGAATGAAGCAAGTGGAGTTGCAGAACCCTTGTCAAACCCAAGTAGGCAACCAAGAGGTTGTTACCTCAACACATGCTGTCAAAGGTGTGCGCGTCACTTTTGACAAGGATTGCACTGTCACACATGAGCTGAACTTTTATGCCATGGACAAGTGTCCTTTCGACGCGGTCATTGGCTTAAGCTGGTTAAAGGCTCATTGCCTAAGGACCACGTGGGCGGATAATCAGTTCGTGGTCGGCGATGCCAAGGGGAACGAGCGTACCGTTCTATTGGACGAGATGTGCGAGTCCCCTGTGACTCTTTTAAGTGCAAACAAATTCTGCATCAGTGCGCAGGCGCAAGGAAGCTGAGCATGTACATGTAGCTCTTGTGAAGCCTCTCCATGTGCCTTCTACGTTTGCTGCATTTTCTACCTCTGAAAGTAATTCTACTTCTACTACCTCTACTTCTGTTCCATCTACTTCTACTATAAAAAATCAGTCCACTTCTGATCCAAGTACTTCAAATCCGGTTGTAATTGCTGTAAATTCTCTGTCTGATTTTCTCTCTCCTGATGAGGATGATCCTCCACCGGAAGTCCCAATAAACATTCGCCGTCTATTAGATCGATTTCCTGAAGTCTTGGTTGAACCTCGTGGAGTTCCTGAGCATCCAGTCAAACACAAAATCGAGATAATAGAAGGGAGCGTTCCTCCAAAGGGCTGCGTCTACTGTATAGGACAAGGCGAGTTGGAGGAGTTGAGGAGACAAATTGATGATATGATCGACCGTGGATGGATTAGGCCTAGTGAGTCTGAGTTAGGTGCACCTGTCTTGTTTGTGCCGAAGAAAGGAGGCAAACTCCGGATGTGTATTGACTATCGTGGCCTCAATTGGATCACCAGAAAGAATGCTTATCCTTTGCCTCGCATAGATGATCTGCTAGATGCTGCAGGTGGGTGCAAGGTCTTCTCCAAGATCGACCTCAAATCTGGTTACCACCAGATTGAAGTTGATATGAGCGACCAGCACAAAACTGCATTCAAGACACGCGATGGGCTGTACGAATTCGTCGTTATGCCCTTCGGTCTTACGAATGCACCAACCACATTTCAGTGCCTCATGGACAAGGTTCTCCGCCATCAGCTTAACAGGTTTGTTGTTGTTTACCTCGATGACATCCTGATTTTCAGCAAGTCCATGGAAGAGCACGTCAAGCACCTTGAGGAGGTTTTGCAGGTCCTCAAGGAGGCACAACTGCACCTCAACTTGGAGAAATCAGAGTTTGGAAGGGACAACGTCATCTATCTTGGACGCACCGGTTGTCTGCAAACGGCCTTGAGCCGGAGGCAACCAAGGTTGAGGTCATCCGAAAGTGGCCTCAACCAGCGAACGTACGCGAACTGCGTTCTTTTCTTGGTTTGGCCTCATATTATCGGAAGTTTGTGCCTAAATTCTCTGTCATTGCTCACCCACTCTCGAGACTCGCAAGTAAGAATGTTGCCTATGCGTGGTGTGAGAAATGTGAGACTGCATTTCAAGCCTTGAAAGAGGCATTGATGAGTCATCCTGTGCTCCGCATTGCGGATCCCAACCTCACGTTTGTAGTCACTACAGACGCGAGCCAGTATGGGATTGGTGCAATGCTGCAACAAGATGATGGCGATGGCGTGCGTCCGCTCGAGTATTACAGCAAACGCATGCCCAGCCACAAGGTGTTTACCTCCACATATATGCGTGAGCACTACGCCTTGCGCGAGGTGCTCACACATTGGAAGCACTACCTCTTGGGTCGTCACTTCAAGGTCTACTCAGATCATCAAACCTTGCAGTGGATTAAGACACAAACTGATCTCTCTCCGACACCGACCCGCTGGTTGCATGACATTGATGTTTACAACTTTGAACTGAAGCACAAGAAAGGTTGTTATAATCGTGTTGCTGATGCTTTGTCACGTCATCCTTAGTATTTGACTTGCCTTGTGGACTCTTATGACCTCTGAAGGAAACTGAAGGAGGATGTGGTCGAACATGGCCTGCTGAAACCCCTCCCGATCTCTATCGATTTTACGGACTTGGGGAAGGTGAGTGAGGGAGTACATTCACAAGTCATGGTTATTGTGGATCGCTTTTCCAAATTCGTGAACTTGATTCCTCTACCTCCCCATGCACCAACTGATCTTGTGATCGAAGAATTTCACCAGCAGCACATTTTGCAGTATGGAGTCCCGAAAACTCTTGTGAGTGATCGGGACACCAGGTTTATTAGTGCTGATTGGAAGGACTTCACCTCACAGATCTATGACATTGAACTCAACAAGACTTTTGGTCGACGCCCTGAAGCCAATGGGTTGGCCGAGGAAATCAACCAGACTGTCATTCAACTGCTTCGCGCGCTAATTGCTCCAGATCAGAACACGTGGGACTAGGAGTTACACAAAGTGAAAGGGTTGTACAACAACTCCATTCACTCTGCAACTGGCGTAACATTGAATCAACTGCAATATGGTTGGCAGATGCGCAATCCTCTCTCCTATTTGTTCCCCGAACGGTCCCCTGGTCTGACGCCCGACATGCCTGGCTACAATGCCAAGTACGCACGCCTGCTCAAAGCTGCTATCGCAGCAATGAACAAGCGTCAGCATGCCATGATCAAACATGCTAACAAGTCCCGCAAAGAAACGAACTTCAAAGTAGGGGATTATGTCTGGGTCAAAATGTATGAGTTTTCTGATGAAGAGGGCGTATCATGAAAGCTTCTTCCATTGTACTATGGCGCTTGGCAGGTTCTGAAGGTGATTGGGGATGAATTTGGTCCTACATATGTGATTGACGTGCCTCCTCATCTGCGCACATATCCGGTCTTTCACGCATCCAAACTGTTTCCGCACATCGATGATGAAACTTTTCCCTTCCGAGATGCTATGATACCTCGTCCTGTCGACAGAGGGAGGAACAAACAGTACAAGGTTAACTTCCTCTATCACCCATTGAACGAGTTTTTCTAGATCGACCGGAAAGAGCTGTTAAAGAATGCTCCACGAGTGGTTAACGCCTATGAACGACAGATCACTGACGGACAAACTACTAAGTTTTCTGCAAGACTCACTCCTCACGGTCTTACTAAATCCCTCTTTCTGATCTACGCATACGATGCATTTTGTGCCGACTCTGAATGAGTTACTCGCTCGAAGGGACCTCGCTCTTGAGAGGGGGGTAGTGTAATGACCCGCCAAAAACACAGACTGAGAACACTGCTGATTTCTGGGATTTGCCGCTCGAATGAATGCCTTGCTGAGATTCTCGCATTCTGTTGTGATTTCCATGTCTGTGTGTGTGCGTGCCTGCTGGTTTGCATGCCTGTCTGAGTGCTTGTCGGCTGAGTGTGTGTGTGACCCGCAAGGGTACTTGTTGGTTGAAAGGC